CATCTTCCGATTAAACAAACCAAAACTGAAGAGATGTGAAATGTGCAGTTCATTTGCATTGTAGAATGGTACTACAAAAGATTAATGAATGCTGTATTGGATTCTCCATTGTCTCTGTATTCACCTCGTATGTTTGCAACTTGCGAGACATTATCTTTGCTTTCGAGTTTGTGATTTCCTATATAAGAGACAATATTTATGCAGTGGCATCTATCTCCCATATCCCAGAAACTCAGTGAGAAAAAAATTTCTTTTCAAAGTGAAATTAGCTAGAGAAATGCAGTTTTCCCCCAATTTCAACCAAGAAAACACTCAGTGAGAACAAACCAACTATTAAACAATCCAAAGAAAATAAAGAAGTAAAAGGAGGAGGCTAGGGTTTCATTGATACTACGTAATTAATTGAATGCTAAAAGATGGTTTAACCTAAATACAAAGGGAATATATATAGGCTAAACAAAGGAAATTAAAAAGAACTATTCTACCCTTAATAAATAATAAATAATCCTATATTTCTTAACATCTCCCCTCAAACTCACAATGCGGCAGCTACAAGCATCAAGAGTTTGCCAACTAGAAAACGAAAACGAGAAATAGAATGCGACTTGGTAAAAAAATCTGAAAGCTGCAAAGAAGAAGAAACAAAGGGCAAAGTAATTGTGTCATGCTAGAGATGATGACGTGTAAGATGACAATCGATCTCAATATGCTTAGGTCGTTCATGAAAAACCGAGTTGTGAGCAGTCTGAATAGAACTTTGGTTGTCGCAATACATAGGAGTGGGATGAGAAAGAAAAACTCCTATATCTACAAATAACCAACGTAACCAAACAATCTCTTTAGTAGTAGATGAAATAGCATGATATTCTACTTCGGTGGAAGATTGAGAAACAATAGATTGTTTCTTGCTTTTCCAAGAAATAAGAGAATCACCCAAAAAGATACAGAAACCAGTAACAAACTTGCGATCTGTGGGGGTCACTGCCATGATCAGCATCAGAGTATGCACGCAGCTCCAAGGAGGAGGTGGATGGAAGTAACAGACTCTGAAAGACTGTACCCCGAAGATATCGTAAAATGCGAAGAACAGCTGCCCAATGAACTGTAGTGGGAGAAGTAACAAACTGACTAACAATATGAACAACATATGCAATATCTGGACGAGTAATAATGAGATATACCAAGATCCCAACAATAATAGGTATAAAGTAGGATCTGACAAAGGTAAATCATCAGAAAAAGAATACTTCGCGTTAACCTCAATTGGAGTATCAGCAATCTTATTATTAGTAAGTTTTGCCCGCTCAAGAATATCTGCAACATATTTTGACTGAGCAAGAAGATAATCTCTGAGTGAGAAGGCTACCTCAATACCCAAGAAATATCGTAGAGAACCCAAATCTTTCATTTCAAACTGTCTAGCTAACTCTGTCTTCAAAACTGAAATACTATCAATATCATTACCAGTAATAATCATGTCATCAACATATAAAGATAGAATGATACGACCTGCATCAGTGCTCTTAACAAAAAGAGCAGAATCATGACTACTAGAAGCAAATCCAAGGAAAGAGATCACAACAGAAAATTTCTCAAACCAAGCACGAGGTGCTTGTTTGAGACCATACAACGCTTTCTTGAGCTTGCAAACATACCCAGAATCATGTGAAACACCAGGAGGGGACGCCATATAAACCTCTTCTTGAAGATCTCCATTCAGGAAGGCATTTTTAACATCAAGTTGAGAGATACACCACTGACGAACCGAAGCTACTGCAATGAGAGTACGAATAGTAGTCATTTTTGGAACAGAAGCAAATGTCTCCTCATAATCCATACCATACTGTTGAGAGTATCCCTTTGCAACCAACCTCGCTTTGTATCGCTCAATTGACCCATCAGAATTAGTTTTGATCTTATACACCCAACGACAACCAAAAACACTCTTACCAGAAGGTAAAGTAACCAAATCCCAAGCACCAGTCTTATGCAAAGCAGAAAGTTCCTTATCCATAGCTTACTGCCAAAGAGGATCAAGAATTGCCTCTTTATAGGAAGAGGGCTCAGAGAGACAATGAATAGAAACTAAAAAGGTAGAAAATGATGAAGACTAACAAGAATAAGCAAAATCTGGTAACTTTGTAGACTTATGAATGAGCATGGATTGACGTAGAGGCAGATCCACAATCTCAGACGGAGCTTGAGGGACCGTAGGAGAAGAGGACACTTCAGGTGTGCCGGAGAGTAAAGTGTCATTACCTGCGGAATGATTAGTACGAATTGGTTGTAAAGACAATGGGGTAGGAACATAAGAATGGACATTTGAAGTAGTAGGCTCCTAAGAAGACAAACTATCAGGATTGTCAAAAAAAGGATCTACACGAATAAGATCAGATCTAGTCAAACTATGAGTAGTGGATGGAATAGAAAAGAAAGGCATATGCTCGAGAAAAACAACATGACAAGACACATAAATTTTCTGAGTTATTGGATCAAAACAACGATACCCCTTTTTACCTTCACCATAACCAAGAAAGACACAAATAGTAGATCGAGATGACAACTTGTTGCGTTCTACATGAGGACGAAGAACGAAACAAGTACAACCAAAAACTTTAAAGAGAGAATAATCAGGGGTATACCTATACAACTTTTCGAAAGGAGAAAACCCTGAAATATGAGAAGATGAAATTGTATTAATCAAACCTACAGCAGTAAGAACAGCTTCATCCTAAAACACACTAGGGACAGATACAGACAACAAGAGAGAAAGAGCAGTTTCAACAATGTGCCTATGTTTTCTTTCAGCAACACCATTTTGCTCAGTAGTATCTGTACACGAAATTTGGTGAATAGTTCCATCTAAAGTAAGCGACTCACAAAATTTATTAGAAGTATATTCCCCACCCAAATCACACCTAAAACATTTGATAACAGCATAATGTTGAGTTTTAACAAGAGCACGAAAGGCTAAGTATATCTCAAAAAATTTAGAACGATGTTTTATTAAATAAACCCAACAATAACGAGTGTGATCATCAATAAAAGAAACATAATATCGAGACCCTCCTTTTGTGGCAATAGGAGAAGGCCCCCATATATCAGAATGAATCAAATCAAATGGAGAAGAAAAATCAAAAATACTTCGATTAAAAGGTAAATCTGAAAAATTTGCCAGTTTGCATCCACTACAATTAGAAACATGACAAGGGTGTAAATCTCCTAAAGCCCCTGTAGAAGCTAAAAATCTCAAACGAGACGACGAAACATGCCTATATGAGAATGCCATAAATAAAAACTAGAAGAAGAAAGACTCAAACGAAACAAAGACAAATCAACACTAGTAATGGCAGCAGCAACTGACACTTTTAGCTCATCCAAAATATATAGTCCACCCTTCCTAGGGCCCGTCCCAATCAGCTTCTGAGACTGCAGATCCTGCACATAACAAGAAGAAGAGGAAAATGTGACTAAATTACCAGAATCACATAACTGACCAACAGAAGCAAGATTTAATGTGAGTTTCGGAATATGATAAACATTAGGGAGGGACAAGTGAGGTGTGACAACAGAACCAACACCTGCTAATGGCATAGGAGTGCCATCAGCAGTTATGACAGCAATAGAAGACGAAGGGGACACAGAAGTAAAAGACGAAGAATCTGGAGACATATGATGTGAAGCACCAAAATCCAAGACCCATACAAAATGTGACATACTTGAAGAACTATGAGGCAACTGACCTATGGAAGAAGCAGACATAGCTTGAGGCTGTAAGGAGAGAAACTTCTGAAATTGCTCAGCCAAAGTACTAGGATCGGTGAAAGGACCTAATGAAGCTACTGCTGCAGTATTAGATTGTGGTGGTCTATGAGCATTAGATCGTGATTGGTTGCCAGGCTTCCAAGCTTGAAATTGTTGCTGTAATTGATTCGACTGTCTCAACTTAGGACACTGAGCCTTCCAATGACCTTTATGCTTACAGAAACTGCACTCGTCAAAGGCAACCCTTGTGTAAGGCTTGTTTTGATTATTAGAGGATGGCTTAGAAGACATTGCTAATACAGAAGGATTAGAAGCAAAAGAATTCCATTTTCAGCATAAGACTTAAGACATATTTCTTCAGCCGATAACTCGCTAACAACTGAGTCAACAGAAGAAAGTGGAGAACGATGCAAAATTGAACCTCTGAGTCCTTCAAAATCACTGCTAAGTGCCGTTAAAAATTGTACCAACCGTTGCTGCTCTCTACGAGTAATATAGGCAGCACATGCCTTTAATCCTATCGATTCTGTAATGGCCAATTGATCTCAAAGATCTGTCATAATAGAATAAAACTCCTGAATACTCATATTATTCTGATGAAGAGCTCGTATATAATTCTCCAATTGATACTGCTTTTGCAAAATTTGACTGAGTGAATAATCTTTGCAGATGATCCCAAACCTCCTTTGCTGTCTCATACTTCGTCAACTCTCTACCTATGGAATGCTCCACAAAGTTGTTAATCCAAGTAATAATTTTTGAATTGTCTGATTCCCAGGCATCTATCAAAGCAGCATAACCCTCATTGGTATTCTCAAGTTTCACAGAAGTTCCACTAATGAATCCCCACATCTTTTTACCCTTAAGAAAATTTCTCATCACGTAACTCCAATACGAATAATTCTTTCTATCCAACCTCACACTCACAGACTGAAGCGAATCGTCTCTTTCAATAGCCATAATGAAAAAATAACAAATTGCAGAAATACCAGATTGCAGAAATACTAGTAATAAGTTGGATCCACGAGAGCTATGTTTGAGATTAAGTTTTGTCTCATGAAATCTGGCTCTGATACCATGTTAAACAATCCAAAAAAAAAATAAAAAAGAAAATGAGGAGGCTAGGGTTTCATTGATACCACGTAATTAATTGAATGCAAAAAGATGGTTTAACCTAAATACAAAGAGAATATATATAGGCTAAACAAAGAAAACTAAAAAAGACTATTCTACCCTTAATAATAATAAATAATCCTATATTTCTTAACACCAACAAACAGACATGCAATTCGCCTTCTCCACTAGTCTTGTGATCTTACCAAAAACTGATACCAGTGAACGTTTAGCTTTCTTAAATTGGTCCTAATAAGACATCAGGCAAAGATAATGTAATCCCAGAATTGGGAGAAATCTATGTGCTGCTGATTTTCAAAGACCAATTTCAATATGCATATTATACAATGTATTTGGAGAACTTCAACCGTTATGGTTGTTCTAACGGATACTCATGAATTTGTCTGCTTTGGTTTTGGAAGAAGCTGAAGATCTTGATCTGAAGAATGCAGAATCTGATCGTGTACGATGAAGTACTGGGAAGGTCTCGACCACCTCAACATCCCACAAGATCTTGTTGTAGGATTTGTGCCAATGAGGAATATCGTGCGTGACAGAGTTCCTCCATGGGGGAAGGCCGCCATTTGGGCGTAAAAAGTCGCCCCACAATGTTCTAAGCCGGACTTGCATGCCATCCCTCAAAGGTTCCCATTCGGTGGCTGGATCAAATTTACTCGGCAAGGTTTGGATGACTTTTTTTCCTGTAACCCCGGGAAGAAATGGGACGTTTGAGGCTGTGAGGTATCTTCCGTAACAGCTTCTGATGCGCAAAAGGTCTCTTCCTTGAACGAGTTCAACGGTCCAGAGTGCATTATTTGTTGTTCCATCACGATGTTGGCAGACAGATTCTTGATCATCTTCGGCTATTAGGTATTTGTCCTTGTAGCTGCGCAGTCGGATTGTCTTGGCTCTCTTGAAAAGATCCATTTTCTATTTAAATTCGACGAATTCTGCTGTTAATCCAATGAAATTGAGGAAAATGAGGGAAGAAAATGGTCAGCAGGTGATGTCAAATGGACTTCTCCATTGTTGAATTCTAGGAATTTAATGCATGCCTGGAATCAAATCAAGAAGGCAATACAATACCAATAAATCTTAAGTTTGTTGGGGAAAGAAATCAGAAGAATAATTGCTGAAAATATTACATATTCATGAGGTTTTGAAGATGTACCTAGCATATATCAGGATTCTTGGAACATAATTGTCTGATCAATGTTCCTTTCTTTGGTACCATATGAGATAAATTCATTTCTGTGCATATTTGGATGGTAAGAATTCACCCAGATCATGTCCTGATGAAACATAAGAGACAGGGTCTCCTACAATTCAGGAATTCTTTATTTGTACAGCCTGGGGCTGGGGTAGGTAGGTTGAGGAGGAGTAAGTAGGGTGGTTAAAAAAAGTTGGAAGGCTGAAGCTCTATTTTTCTTTTCAAATTTCCGTAACTTTTGGCATGCCTTTTATCTTCTTCCTCCACTCCAAATCTTTTAGATAAAATTACTGTTTCCTTCAACTTTTTTACTTATTGAATTATAATTGTCGAAAAGCAAATGACAATATTCTTACTTTCGGAGAGCTTGACTATGTCTTCCTCTGGAACATGAATACTTTTCAAGCTATGCCTGGCTTTTTCTTTTTTTTTCCTCTCTTTTTTAAAGACACCAAATCTAATCGCGAAACGATGTTTTTTGGAGGTCTGTATCTAATAGTCACTCGATTTTCCACACTTGGTTCTGGTGCTGCTTTCACCGTATGGGCCGGAACACGAATCCTCTTCAAAGTTCAATACATCTGCACAAGTTCAAAATATAAATAATCAACTTTTAGATAGCAGTTTGTGCTTTATATGGCATCAATGTCATGTTTTTTCTTTTAATGGAAATACCTCTTTTATTACCGTTTAAGTTTTTAGATAGTTCTAACAATTTTGTAGAATGTACATGTATCAAAATCATCTTCGTATGAATATCGTATTTGTTCTTAATCTTTCATTAACTAGCATATCTTGTCATTAATGATGAATTTCGTCCAAAAATGATATTTTGCATACCATTTTCAACCGCACATTTTTCTAATAAAATAATTATGCACATGAACTAGAACTTTTCCCGTCATTTTAATCACACATTCTCCGAAAATATCACTTTTCACAAAATCCATTCTACAAAAATACATTTTTAAGGGTAAGCATGTATTTATATATTCCTAAATATTACAGCAATAATTACATACGAGAAATCTGTATCTACATTATCACACGACTCAGGGAGAAGATAGCAAATGACGAAAAAAAATGTATCCAAATTCTCATTTCAAATCAAACGCTAATCTTTGGAGGGCTTTAACAACTTGCACATGAAATAGAAAAATACGAATTTCTCCGGCTCAGGCTTAGGTTCCTCCTCATTATTCTTAACTTTTCTGCGAGTAGATCCGCTGTTACCCAGGCAATAATGCCTCATCATCTTGCAAAATCACGGCTAGGAGAGAGTACTTGACGCGAAGAGATATTTTACCCCTGTCGACCATAAGCCTAGCCCCGGATACTACCCAATAACCGGGTGGGTCTTGTGGTCCTCTTGTCATCTCCGTCGTGTCAACAAACCTCAAGAGCTTACGAGTTGGAGCAGGAGTTGGAGGACCTTCTGGATATAGAGCAGAGTTGATGTTAACATCAGCTGGCTTTGGAGGAGGTTTATGTCCAGTGGAGAACTTAGTGCTAATTAAAGTGGAAAGAATTCCTGACTTTTGGACAAGGGCCGGGAAACCATCCCACACTGGTTTCTTCACAACTGTTGAACCAGCAACTCTGGCGAAATGAAGGCGTAGAAACAGAACACTTTTCATGCCAGATTCCCCAACTTCAAATCTTGCTCCAGTAACTATAGAGAGATCATCATCAGACTCGACTGGGGCAGTGCATACATGAGAAAAGCTCTTTCCTTGAACCTTCTCGTAATATCTACGGTCATAGGAGTTACTGTAGTTTTGACCAGATTCATAATGAGGTTGAAAGCTTTTTGGCACAGAGGAAAGGTGCTGCAAATGGATTGCTAAGCAATTACTTCTCTTTCCTTCCAAATAGAGCCTCATCCCAGTTACCGGCATATTCCCCACCTCAACCTGTCCAAATTATTTTCAGCAAAATTATTTACCAACTTATCATTGGAAGTTGTGAAACATCTGAGAATCACAATTTAGCAATGATCAAGAAAGATACACGACAAGATTGCCCAGCATCTAGTTAGAAAGGATGGAGCAAAGGAACACAGCCCCAATTCCATATAAGATCGTGATTAATCAAACTCTGCAACTTAAAAACTAAAGCTAGTAACCAGGCAGAATAAAATTCATTTCCATGCGTGTGGTTTCAAACAAAAGTTGGGCTTGTTATTCAATATTCACGAGTCAGAAAAAAGCAAAGGTATGATAATAAAGTTCTCAGTATTCGCTAATTCATTTCAATTCAGTGACACGTCATCCTCGCTACTAAAGATGGGATATAGGCAAGTGAATCACTACACCCATCTTTGAGCTAGGGTCCAAGAGGCATACTTCATCTCCATAGCAATATGGCATAGAATACAAGTCGGAAGAACTCATTGACAATGAAATTGAAAGCCGTCGCAAGCCAAGGTCAATCCAAATGAACACAAATACAGATTAAATTGTGACCATATTTTGAACAGTTAAAGATGAGAATCAGATGATCGCAACTACCAAATTCATTGTAGATTTAGAACGTTTTTTCTTTGAATAAAATGATAATTTCGAGCACAGATTGATAAATAAGATAATTAGATTGGAAAAGTCAAGCATCCACACGCTTCAGCAGCTGTAAAAAATAAGCAGAACCACACTAGTAATAGATCGCCAAAACTTTTCCTTTCCTTGTGGTAGGATACAATAATATTCAGAAATATCCATAGGTTTCTTATGATTACATTAAATAGAGTTTGTTTTTAATTTCGTGGGTCCAGATACATCAGCACTTTACTGGCAGTAAAACCTCAGATTACTTTGATAACCATGTACAGAGGGGTATGTCCCTCTTGGTTAGTCCAAGACTCTCTCAATCAATAAGACCTTTATTTTAATTAAACAATGTTTAGACTTTTCTTGTTTTGATACCAAACCCACTGATGCAAAATATAATGAAAATTTCGACAGCGAGTGAATGAAAAACGTTCATCCAGAATGGCTATTCAGATAGACTTATCAAAGACAACCTTAAATGATACATGTGGCACCTCTACAACAACTTTAGCTTTTAGATGAAGTCATTAAGAAAAATGTTTAAAATCTTTATCCAGCACTACACTGGTTATCTTCTTCCCATGAAAAATCTATGCTTATAGTTTCTAAAGACTTGGATTGATCAAAGTGGAAGGCTCTTTATTTCAGCTCAAAAGTTCTACTGTATAGAGCACACTGACTCGTCACTTCTCTTCCTCTCTGGTAAATTTTACGAAGAGCGTTTCTCTCACTCAGTTTTTTGCAATTGTGTAAAGGTATTGGGAGGACAGACATTGATTTTAATCAGCTAAGAGTAGCTAACCGTCAAAAACATGGGCCATAACTACAAGGTAATGAAGTTCTGTATAATTTAAACTATAGAACAACATTACACAAATATTGAGTGCATCCTCAAGACCCAATTTTTCTCAATCCAATTTTGAGGCAAGCTAAGATGACTCTCCTCAAAAAGCATGTTACTCACAGACAGATCCAAGTGTGGCAAGACTGGATGCCAATAGATTAAAAAAAAAAAAAAATAGAAGTACAGTCATGATAAGTGTGTAACCTATTGATTATCAAGTTGTGGTTATGCCATCAAAACAACTGAAAAATGTGTTCTCTTTGTCAAATAATTGCAGTCTATCATAATTAGGATAGAAACCTAAAAATTTGAGTTTAAGATAGCGGTACCTCATTAGCATTAACATAAAGCTTGGGACCCATAAAACTGAACTGCAAAGATGCAACATTTTGCTGCTTTTTATCTGGACCAAGGGGAAGGTCGCCAAATACTGGTGCCCATTGTCTTGGAAGTTGAAATTCCAAAAATTGGTGAAGTTCTTCGATTGGTGGTTTATCTGCATGCAAACAGTCAGGTGAACACCGACATGTGATAACACTTTGCATTTCCTAAAAATGGTACTTTTGCCATATTATATTAACACCTTGAAGTAATGGCAGTAAGAGTGCTACTCTCTGTTACTCATATCATATCAATGCTTAGGTCTCTAAAGTTTGAGAAAGGACAATAAATGCTTGCCAATTCATTAGAACTTTTTCCAACGCTAGAACTGCTCCCTTGAAGCATCAGTAGTGATGTGCTTATCAAATTAATATAGTATAAGATAAATCGAGTGGCTAACTTTTTGTAAGTAATCAAGAATATGACCAAACGTGCATTGGAAGATTCTACAGGTCAAAGATGGGTTGTCAAGAAATAGGCCGAGCATCTAGGGTTACCCACTAGCAGGGGAGGAAGCTAAGTTTGTGTCCAAATTAGGTGGCAGAACAATCTATGGGCAGCATAGCAATGGTGTGATCTTTCAGCCAAGCATGTGAAACTAAACTAAAAGACAGCTCCTAAAGGATGATAAGTATATATATTTAAGTAAGACAAGACTTTTTTGCTTACAACGTAGGTACAGGTTGATGGCATGGCCCAAGAATCCACTCCCATCAATTCCACTCAAAAGTGATGAAATTGGAATGAAGGACATTGAAATCACTTCAGGCTCAAGCTGAACTGTTTGGCACCACTTGTCATGAGGCATATTCTTACTGCTGCTTCCACCTCTCCTCCTCCAGAAGAATGTGATATCCTGGAATTGTTGTATTAAAACACATAATGCCACGCTATGTAGCACGGACACTCTAACTAGGGTAGCGTGTCCGTGTCCGTGTCCGACACGTGTCGGATATGTGTCGATACCGACGCTCTTCGGACACTCTACAATAATCATTTTTCTTTCTTACTATAGCTATTATATATTTTTAACGCAAAGTTTTTAATAAATAAAAAAATAAGTACTCATATTTAAAAGATTTCAGCAAAAAAGAATCAATAATAAGTATAAAACTAAATTTAAACTATATAAATGAAGAATTTTAAAAATTTAATGAACGTGTCGACGACGTGTCGTGTCGGTACTTTTTTGAAAAACCACGAGTCGATGTATCCGACACGTATCGTGTCGGACACACGTGTCCGTGTCTGTGCATCATAGATGCCACGTGAGTCAAGCAAAACAATGAAAGCTAACTAACAAGAATATCACAGAATTGAGATCGGTACCATACCCAGATAAATTGGGTAAACATAAGATCCTATAAATGCTATCATCAGTAAACATAAGATCCTATCATCTGTCAGTGCCAATGCAACTGGTTACAAAGAAATTATTACCTCTTGGTTAGAGTGAAAACTTGGTGTACTGGAATCAAAGGTCAGTCCTTGTTCATTACTCTCATGCTGAAATGAAACAAAAAGATATATTAATATATTGCAAGTCTCATATCAAGTTTCAGGTTTTTCCTATATAAGATATCACGAGAAAAGAGAGCAAGTCAAAGTAAATTGAATCTTCTAAATTCTTGACAAGGCTAATCACCATACAGAAGGACAAATTTCATAATGACTAAAAATGAATTGTATGAAAGCAGCAGAAAACAAGATTAATATGTGCATATATAGTATTGTTCGATCTATTTGAAACCATAATTTGAAATCATTTCCACCATTAGTTAATTTGTTCCAAACAGTTGTTTCTTAATGCAGCAAAATTTTCATTTTTCTCACACGTTACAATTGGAATGCAAAAAAAAAAAAAAAAAGGGAGATTTTCATGGCCAGCAAAAGTTTATCAGAAACAAGGTTTAACTTTTTGTTGTAGTCGTTGTACAGTTGTACTGTGAAGAAAGAAGCTAATACTCAAGATAACCCCCGTCATTTAATTTAATCTTTTTTGACAAATATAAAGCAAGTTCATTTAAGTTGATGAATGACATAAAAGAAAATCAGAATAAATATTAAACAAAAGCAAAAGAAAGGAGATTGATTAGGTAAATCTCTGGCTCAGCTCAGATGCAATTTCACCTCCATAAACCAAGCATTCTAAATGCCAATGTTACTTTGCTCTCGCATTCCTGAAAAACAAATACAGTCGGAGCATATCTGGAAAGAAGTTTCAGTCTCACAATATTCAAGCATGATGTGCACATTTTATAAAGAAAATCCTATCAAGTACCAACCCACCCTTATCAGTTATCACACTTCTCTTTTACTAAATGATGTTCCACAGATAGAGCTCCATACTGTAGGATCTACTCCGACTTAGCATCAACCCTTTTGATATGTTACCATAGCTCTTACGTGTTTCAAATAATATAGCTTTTCGATCAACTAGTACTTAAGTTCCTTCTTGTAAAAAGAATTTAAAAGTTTGAACAAAAGCTCTTCATGCGAATCCACTAATCAAACTACAACTTAAGTGATAATATCGTTATCGATTCCCTGTTTATTTATTTGTTCTAATGGTACATATTTTTATGCTGCTGTGGAGACCAGTCGATGCTCTTGACCGTAATGTTTCAATGTTGACAAAAACGTGTACGTGCTCACTAGAAAATGCATCTGCAGACTTGAAAACTTGACCTCAGTGCAAAGGAGAATATTGCAAACTATCTTTAGGTACCATCTCCTGCATGTAACATATTGGCACTTGTAGGCTGTACGTGCCAATAGTTATATTTTTTACTATATAAAGACACATCAATATAATATTGCAGTCCAAAAAAAGAGTCTCATGACTTGCTCATTTCAGTGACCACATTGCTTTAGCCAGCACCATAATGGTCCTCTTTTAAGCTTTGACAAATGTTATCAAGTATGAATTGAGAATGCAAAAAAGCTTTCTTTCAAATAATAACGAGCCAAAATGATTAAATATGAAGTGACATCTTTTATTCCACTAGCACAAAACCGTGAAGCAAATACATACCCTTTCCCCACGGTAAGCTTTCTCAGGCTGCATCCCAGAATGTCCACTTGCATTGCTGAACCTCTTGTCTGCAACATCCTTTAATCTTTTCTGCACATCGGTGGGCAGAAGCAATGACGAATATTGCTGCTTTACATATACAACATCCTTTCCCCCCATCTTGACACCAACGATGACATGGGTACCATATGTCTCAATAAACCTGGAAATAAACAAATAAATTTTTCTGGTTATTCTCTAACAGAAATACTATGGTCTAGTTCAGATATTGAACGGCACGTGTGAATTTCAATTATATCTCCAAGAACAGATCATATTTATACTTTATTAAAGGGAAAAAATCTCAGTAAGATTCCACTCATTTTGACAACGAATAGATATCATGGTAACTAATGATATGAATCTTAAATGCATACAAAAGTCTATGATATCACTCTAGTCCATACACAATCACATTCTTAATCTTTTCCCGATCCTGCAATCTCACATTTCCCAGCAAAAAGTAACCATGTAAGCAACACGCACGGCCACTTGATATTTAGAAAAGGTTTCTTAATTTTGCCAAACTGAGCCCAAAACCATGGTGAATATTCTAGACTATGCAATTCTTAGTTTTGCTGGCTGCAGAACTGCTGCGACTTGAATTTACATTTCACATATTATAATGGATGATGCCATAATTCTCGAACACATTAACGGCTGTTTTCATCTGTCCATTTGTTTAACATGTTTACCTTTATAATAGTTGCTATGGCTCAAACAGGACAAATATTTTATGTTTTGAAAATCAATCTTGGAGAATATTCAATTATTAAAATCTGAAATCATCAGGGAACTCGGTAACTAATGATATGAATCTTAAATGCATACAAAAGTCTATGATATCACTCTAGTCCATACACGATCACATTCTCAATTTTTTCCCCATCCTGCAATCTCACATTTCCCAGCAAAAAGTAACCATGTAAGCAACACACACGGCCACTTGATATTTAGAAAAGGTTTCTTAATTTTGCCAATCTGAGCCCAAAACCATGATGAATATTCCAGACTATGCCATTCTTAGTTTTGATGGCTGCAGAACTGCTACACCTTGAATTTACATTTCACATATTATAATGGATGATGCCATAATTCTCGAACACATTAACGGCTGTTTTCATCAGTCCATTTGTTTAAAATGTTTAGCTTTATAATAGTAGCTATGGCTCAAACAAGACAAATACTTAATATTTTGAAAATCAATCTCGGAGAATATTCAATGATTAAAATCTGAAATCATCAGGGAACTGGGTAGCTACAGCAGTTCGATTATTGAAAAGAGACACGTCCATCCGTGTCAGTATGTCATCATTAAGACAGGGCCACACATGCTGGAGAAATGAACAAACCAATTTCCTTCCACTGACCTTGACAATGCAGCTGGATCCCATGACGATGGGACTGCTTGTTTGACGTGATCAGCCAGAGCTACCTGGGACTTCTCTAATGCAATACTGTAGAGGGTGATAGAGACTCCATCAAAAGCAACTGATTTTGTGAAGGCAGCATCTTTCTGCCAGGAACCCGTAAACTCAAAAGCTGCATTGAAGTGGCCTGTTGGGATTTTACCTGAAAGTGATAATTCCTGGTTGAACTGTTCCGACATCTAGAAGGGAAAAGAAAAACAGATTACCATATTATTGGAAGTGGCCTATATCCAGAATCCAATTACTTCTTAAAATAGTCTGTAGTCTCAAATTCATTTTGTTGCCATCTTTTATTTCTTTATTTATTTCACTTGTTGAAGAATACCTAGTAAGTGCTAAACATGCCCTATCACACTGATGCGCACATACAGAAAGTGCTTTTACATTAAGTGATAAAACAAGCCCACAACATATTGTAGCTTACTTTCATTCTCAAAATTCATCTCATAACTACTCTCTTATATTAAATAAGTAAAAATCTTCACACGATATGTTAAATAAAGTAGCATTTGACCAAACTAAAACCTATGAGTTGTGCCTAGTTACTTAAAACTACACCTTTATAACCCCTCAAAATTGCTCTTCAGTAAACCCTTAATAACTTGCATTTTATTTCTTTTATTCCATCCTCTTTGCTAAAAAACCCCAGTTGTTCCACATGTTCTACAAAGTATATTGACTATAAAAGTGCTCAAAACCCAAACACAAACAGATTTTTACTGGTCAATTTCCCTCCCTTATGAATATTTTGATATTATTGCGGGAATTGAAAATAAAGACGTAAATATATGCATCCAACAAAATTCGAATTTCCATTCTTCCACAATCAATTCCGCTATTAAAAAATTCAAGCATCTTAGCAAATTTCCTCCTCAGCAACAAGTAATATTCTGTAGTTATCATTGTGTTCTATTTGTACCTGCTGGAAAGATAGAACGTCAGAGCTGAACCGCATGCGCTCGCCTTTGTCGCAATTGATGGACTTGGGTACATTCTGGACCAAAATACCTCCAGGAATCGCAATATCCCGCACCTGATCATCGTCAATCGCGATCAGCCTGGAGCCCTCTCTCGTAATTTGCTTCTTACAGTACTTCAACCGCAGGTCCAGAGTTAAATCATAGCCCAATCCAATACAATGCACCGCCTCTTCTGCCCCCGCCCTTAACCTCAAAGCCGTCTCTTTCTTACTGACACTACTATTCTTCGCCATCAATTAAACAAACAAAAATAAATAAATCTTCTGCGTTTAACAGGTTATTTTTTAGTCCTGCTCCTTTATTCGTTTTCCAGCCACAAGGTCAATGAAGATGGCCGAATTCATCAAATTATGACAAGTAGAAGCACAACTATAGCAAGAACCAGAAAGTTAGGTAAAAAAATCAACAGGGTGTTCGGGTGAATGAGTTTTTAAGGAGGGTTTTGGGATTAAACTTGGAGAAGGTAAATTGAACTAGTCAAAATAGAAAAAGTCGATGTTTCGTTCCATTGTTTTTGGCCTGGAAAATGTGGTTGGTTTTCAAATATGTAGTGGGATTGTATGGAAGGAAAGAGATGGTAGATCGGTCAAAAAGTTATAGTGCTGCCGCCGCTAACTTCCCGGTGTTTGTACAAATGAGAAAAAAAGTCGGGGCTTTCATTTAAAAAAGCTTAGTCAAACAAAACGTTTATTTAAAAAGTCCACAAAATAAGGCTTGTTTGTGCCCTTTAATTTAAAAAATTGGAGTATGAAATAATAATTGATGTTAAAATATGTAGTTAAAAAAAAATTGATATAGGTGTAATATTATTTTAATAGAGAATGTGTGGTTGAAAATGAGTATTGTAAAAAAAAAATGTGATAGAATTTGGGAGAATAGTTGAGAAACAAGGGCTTAGTTTTTTTTTTATTAAAAGCCTAAATCTCTATTCTAATTCTCATTTCAATTCCCATTTGACTCCAATTAAATTCTACCTTCGTTCCATTTGCTCTTCAACAACTGGTTGTAGAGAGATGCAATTTCTTTCTTTGTCATTATTATTTTTCTCTACTTAGCATAATCATAAACTCTACATTCAATTTTTCTTGAACACTCATTTGATTGAAGCAAGCAATAAAATCTTGCAGTATTATTGTTTGGCATTTAGAGGAGAAGAGGGTGTTGTAATTTTTAATTTTTGGGTTACTTTCTTTGTCCTTTTTTTTGAATAATTTCTACATTTTATTGTATATATGTTTATGATTTTTATTTCTGAATAATGATTTTGAATTAATTTTATCATTGGATTAGAGTTTTGATATGGGTTACTTTCCAACCCTTTTTTCATTACCGTCATTTGTATCGGTTAAAGTGAAATGTAAGTCAGTAAAGGCATGTTTGGCTATTCTTTTTATCGGTCTACTGTAAAACATACATTTGATTTTCGTCTTTACATAACGACTTACATGTCGTTTTCTGCAATCCTTAACGACTTACAAATCGTTATTAGTACTGTACAATGTTTGAAATTGATAAAAATTTTATATTGAATTACAGTTATGGACACAAAAAATATGATATAGATATCAGTTTGTTATCCAGTTGAATATGAGCAGTTGGTTGAAGGTGTATGAAAATGGAAATATGCAGGGAATGGCAAAGTAAAAAACAACTCCTATTCTTGTTGCGAAAACTATTTCTTATGTGGAATTATATAATAAAGTCAAAGAGATGTTGAACGTCAATATAAGGCTGTACAAAATGGAGATTTCAACTCTTGCCCCTATAATATCTAAAGCTCCAACTATAATTGATTTTAACAACAATGTGAAGTGGTTTCTATCTGCCTGTAAAGAAACTTTTCTTTGTGTAACCCTTTCGAATAAAGTTGAAAATCAAGAAGATTTTGATGATGAAGGGTATTTCTTATTAATAGAGGGTGGAGGATAAATTGCAAATATGAACAACGGGGAGGAACAAGATTGAACGGATGACGATGGTAACCATGACAGTGGTGATGGAATATTTGTCGATTGTAATGATTTTGATGTAAGTGAAGATAGCCCTAGAAGAGTGGACGGCAACAATAATTTGCCTATAGCAATGACAATGATGTGGAGTTACCCATGGATGAAACTTATAGTCGAAATGTAGCTAATGATAATGATGTTGACTGTAGTCAGATTGTATCTGCAAATGCAACTTCACTCTGCTATAAGACATCAGTAAGAATTCCAGAAAATGAAGATGTGCAATTGAATCAGTTTTTTGCATCAAAATATGAGCTAATATTGAAGCTACAATTGATGGCTGTGGAATGTCACTTTGAATACAGAGTTAAGAAATCGAATAAGAGCATTATACAATTGTTTGTATTGATGAAAATTGCAAGTGGCGCTTGTGAGCAACCAAGATAGCAGAAAGTCGTATTTTCGAAGTTCGAAAGTATAATGGTCATCACTCTTACTCCATGAGCGTTCGCCGAGACCATAGGCATGCTTCATATATAATCATTGGAAACCATATTGCCCCTAAGTATCAAGATGCTAACCGAGTTTACAGACCAAAAAACATCATTAATAACATTCATCAAGAGTTCGGTATAATCGTAAGCTATACTAAAGCGTATATGGCTAAACATTTTGTTTGTGGACCGATCCGTGGAGAATCCTATGACAGTTATGCAAAATTACCAGCATATTGTCATGTTTTGGATATGCGAAATCCTGGTACACTGACATTCATTCATACTATTGATGATCGGCGCTTCAAGTATTTTTTTATGGCATTGGGACCAAGTATATATGAATTCCTCAACTCAATGCGAAGGGTAATATCCGTAGATGGTACATTCTTGAAATCGAGAATGAAAGGCACTGCTCGTAGCAACTTCATGGGGTGCAAATTTTCAAATATTTCCACTCGCATGAGGAGTAGTTGATTCAAAGAATGATGAATCCTGGACTTGGTTTTTTCAGAAGTTGCGCTTAATAACGGGTGATACAAACGAGCTTGAGATTATATCTCAACGTGCAAATTGTATCAAAAATGGATTTAGGGATGTTTTTCAGTATGCTCATCGTGGTAATTGCACATATCACCTGCAAAAGAACCTGAATACTAATTTTCCACGAAGTGATCTCGCAAATTTATTGAGGGTAGTTTCGGAGGCTTATACTATACCAAAATTTGAGCCCAACATAACAACTTTATGCAATAAAAAGAAAGGCATCGAAGAGTATATATTAGAAGAAAAGATTTTCATTATTGGGTTAAAGCACATTTTACTGAGATACTTTACAATATCATGACTACGAATAATGCAGAATCTCTAAATAGTTTGTTGAAGAATGTTTGAGAATTTTTCATAGTTGATTTGATTGAATATATTCGAGAGACACTACAAAAGTGATTTTATGAAAGACATGTTGAAGCGAAAAAATGTGTGACCCACCTCACGTCTCTTTTAGAGAAAAAGATGTGCATGAAATATAATGGATCTAATGAGTTAGAGGTAAATCAAGTATCTCCAGACATTTATCAAGTTGGTGACATTTTAGAACACCACTTTGTGACTTAGGATGAAAAGAACTGTACTTGTAGAAAATTTGATCTAGACAAGTTTTCATGTGGGCATGCAATCGCTGTCGTGAGGTTTAAAATAGATGACGATTACAACCTATGTAACCATTTTTATACTAATATTTGTTGGAAGCAATCGTATTCTACATTCGGATACGCTTTGTCAAATGAGGTCGAATGGCTAATTCCTAAGCATGTGATGGTTAGAGAAGTATTCCACCATTGACACGAAGACAAGGTAGACAACCTTCAAAAAAGAGGAAACGATCAGCCGGAGAAACGCGTACGCCTCGTAAATGCAGTAGGTACAAGAAAACTGGTCATGTTCAATCCACTTACACGAGTCTATTAGTTGGTACTGAAATTTAAGGTTGCAATATTTTTGTGACTTGTAATTTTATAATTTAGTACGTATTTGAAGCGCAAATGATTTATTAAATTTTGTAGCCATTGTGCTATTGAAATACTTTTATACTATTGAAATGACATTAAAGTCATTTTATGTTTTCATGCTTATTTTTTTCCCACATTAAATGCAAACGACGTTCATATAGTTACAGTTGATGTAAATCCACTCAATCTAATGATGATATACATTTTCTTCATTCCCAACACAAAGTGTTTAAGATTGTTGCAGTACAAAAATGCATTGATTCTAATTACGACATTAAAATTGTTCTTGAAGCACAAAACGATATATATGTCGTTCATATACAAAAAAATAGAGCGAGTAACGTAACGATATTGAAATCTTTCCTGTAATAAAAACGATTTCTATATCGTTTCAGTATGACATACACACTGTTCAACTTATTTTGGTAACGATATAAAAGTTGCTATGGCTATACATAAAAGACATATAAGTCGTTCTAGTAAAAAAAATGCACCCATTCTAAGAATGACATTAAAGTCGTTCGTGAAGCTCAAAACAATATAGATGTCCTTCCAATAAAAAAAGTATACTGAATAATGTAACGATATTGAAATCATTCTTGTAGCAAAAAAACGATTTCTACACTGTTCCAGTATAAAACACGCACTGCTTAACTTATTTTGATAACGACATATAAGTCATTATGACTATACATAACGACATAGACGTCATTTTTAAAATCAGGCGCACACCAACTTTGTAGGCTTAGGTACAAGCCTAGATGACTTTTACGTTCTCTTCAGTTGAGTCGTCCAAGTCATTGCATCCTAGGTCTTTTAACGACATAGATATCATTTCTTGTCATATCAAATGACAATAATGTTGCTATGGTGACAAATCCATGAAATAAGTAACGCATCCAAATTATTTTAGTACAAATTTGACGAGTTTGAACTCGTTTCTGTAAAAATCTACACTAAAACGGCATATTTGTCATTTTCTTCTCATATCAAACGACAATAATGTCATTGTAGTGTTAAACCTACGAAAACCTACAAAATAACGTGACGACATTCATATCGTTCTAGTACAAATATGACAAGTTCGAACTCGTTTCAGTTAAAATCTTAACTAGATTGACATATATGTCCTTTCCTCTCATATCAAACGACAACAATGTCGTTGTGGTGTCAAAGCCGTGAAATAACGTAACGACATACACATTGTTTCAGTATAAATTTGATGAGTTTGAACTCATTTATGTTAAACTCGTAACTACAACGACACATGTATCGTTTCTTTTCATGTATAATGACAATGATATCGATGTTGTGTAAACCTACGAAATAATGTAACGACATCCATATCGTTTCATTTCAAATTTTACGAGTTCGAAATCTCTATGTTTCAAATAATAACTAAAACAACATATATATCGTTTTACATATACTATATCGTTTCTGCTAAAAACGACGATTCGATCATCCACGATCACTCGACATGCATCCAACATATGTAGGACCTGTGTTTGATCACACACAAAAGAAACTATGGGAATATTTGTATTACCACGATCGTATTATAACTTTTGAACTATTCCTATAGGAAGGAGTATCTCTGTTCGTTCTTTCCAAGACATTTGAGTGCTATCAACCCACAATACAACCTATTTTGATCGTTCTACTTTTATTGAAGGTATGTTGG